TATAATATACGAAAGGACATAGCAGAAAAAAAAATGGTAATTGCCTTTTTTTTGTGTTAACCGTGCAATTAGAGAATAGGGAGATCCATTTCCGCCGCCGCCTTTGAATCTTAATTAAAATCGACTTCTTTTTCCCTCGATGCGAGCGAAAATGAAAGAAAAAAAAGAAGGCAGTATAATTGCTCTCTTCCCCATCTTGTCCACTTCTTCTCTTTCTCATCCATCAAACGTACATTTTTTTTTTGTAAATACTTCCGCTTCTACAATTGGAATTGGGTCGAATCATTTCATCTATTGATTTTTCATTTGAATTAGCGCTGTTTCCTTTTTTTTTCTTTTTTCCAATTCACTTCCTCCAAAACTTCGAGCATCAAAAAGGAAAGCACTCGGTGAGATTGAAGGAAATATCATTCAACTGAAAGTTTTCCAGCAAATCTTTAATCCGCACAGTGAAAAGTTAAATATCCACTGTATACTAATTTATTAGCTTTGCATAGAATAATTTCATCCATTGAATTTTTCAATTTTCCAATTTTCCAAACTTTGGAGTTTCAAGGAAAGCACTCGCTAAGATTACGCTCATTCCCATTTTCAATGGAAAGTCTATAGAAATTCAGTATGTTAATTTTTAATGAAAATTTTCACAAACAAAATAAAAATAATTTTTTGCGAAATATGAGTAGGCGATGGGAAAATTGCAGATTTTGCCATCAAAATATCTAAAATTTAATAATTAACAAAAAAAAATAAACAAACAAACGAGTGGCGAGCAATAATTAAATGTTTCCATGGATTTTCGCATAATTCGAGCGCGAGGCGACACGCGAACTAATTTTTAATTACTTCCATTTCCCAATTACACCCCGAAAATTGTTTTTGCTCTCGTTCCATTCGCAGATTCGGTTTTGCCCCGTTTATTTTACAATTTTTGGCAATTATGTTCAAGTGTTTCGACTGTCGGACGAAACACAAATTCATTCACAGCTCGTGTAATGTAACTAGGGAAAATCGTGCTGAAAATATACGAGTTTTCAGAGTGAAGATGGTTTTTAATTGATTAACTTTAACCATTTTCGGACGAGCGTCGGATATATCCGCCTTATCATATACAAAGGAGACTTCGCTTTTGCAATATTATATGCATGACTATTGCTGTGGTGCATTTTTTTTCAAAATTTGTGTAGTTGGTATAATGTTATCATATTTGATTAAATGCATTTCATTTTTTTTTAAGTTGGTAACTTTAATAAATAATGACTTAAATTTCTGAAAAATTATGAAGTTGGCAATATCAATGTATGTTGTATAATTTTGAATATTTGAACTATTCTCACTTGTTTTTTTTTCTGATCATAAATTCATCCACAGCTCGTGTAATGTAATTGGGAAAAAATCGTGCTGAAAATATACGAGTTTTCAGAGTGAAGATTTTTTAATTGATTAACTTTAATTATTTGCGGACGAGCGAGACATCGTTTATGCAATATTATATTCATGGCCACTGTTGTGGTTGTATTTCGTTTTCAAAATTTATAAAGTTGGTATAATGTTATCATATTAGATTAAATTCATTTCATTTTTATAATAGATTAAGTTTAACCATTTGCAGACGAGCGTCGAA